AATTAGTATGTGGTGATGTACTCGTAGGTCAAATTGTGTCAAAAGCTATATCGATGAGAAAAAGTACAGTGAGGACTTAATGTTTGCTGTGTTTGTAATTTCGTGTATTTACAATTTTTTTCTGCAAATCTGAACAGACTTTTAGGGATATCCTTTGAACAGTAAATGCATCTTGAACGTAACTAAGATGGTTTTCTCTAATATTTTAGATAGTGTTGATACTAAGGTAACGGGATGCTAACTCTTATTGTAGTCTGAGTTTTATTATATTTTGCTGTGGGAATAATGATTACAAGATTTTTTTTAAAAAAAATATATTGAAAATCACTGTAAATTTTCAATTGTCATGTTGTTGATGTTTTCATGGAGAGAATTTTTGTTCAGTCTCTTAATGTTTGTTATTCATTCGAAGAAATGTAATTTATTTTATGTTGTGAACCATATTTAAATAATTGGATGACATTTTCTCCAAATGATTGGGCCCGGGATGTCTGTTGATGTTGTTTATCAAAGAAAATATTTTCAAAATGTTGCAGATTTTGAGTGTAATGTTAATTATTTGCCAATTGAAATACTTATTAAGATAAGTTTCTTGGTTTATAATGTTTTGCCACAGCAAAACTGAATAAAAAACTACTAACTCTGATCGCTACGGTCCCCATTTGGTTTGATTGTAAGCTATCCAAAATATTTGGTAAAAGCTTCATTAATAATCATTAAGAATTTACATTTAACAAAGGTCAGTTATTCCAAAACTGTGGGTATATTTATGTGTTCAATATGCTCGTAATACTGTTTGACTTTATAATCTTTAATTGAATTTTTAAGTGTTTATTAGGCGAAGATCACTCTTTTGATTAGCCATTCTTAATTATTACCAGAATATTTTACGTCGATTACCTTTGTGATATAGTTCTGCATTTTTCTATTTTTGTGCCTATTAGATGGTTTTTATTCTGAAAAGTGACTTTGATTTGTATATCTATTAGAGTAAATGCTTGGCAATTTCTAGTGTTTTTTAACACTTTTTTTAATTTTTATTGTGGGAATTGATGAAGTGATGAATTACTTAATGTTTATGCTAATTTGTTTTAATCATGATTGGTTTAGGCAGCGCTGCATCATTTAATCTATACGGTTTGTGTGAACGATCGGTTGAGTAACAAGTGCTTTGATTATGCTTTGTCACGTAGGAAGGCGGAATAATTTGTAGAGTGAAATAGTCTCCAGATTTGCTAATGTAGTGCTTCGGTTTATTTTCATGATTAGGCAGTTGAATTGCTTGAAATTTAGATAGTTAAGGAGGAATATTTTGTTAGCAGTTTTGATGTCGCTTGAAGTGCATTGGAATTAAATCCTTTATCTGAGGGATACTTAAGCTAAAAATATACTTCTGATTAGATTTTGAGGAATATATGTCAAATGAAATAGTTTCTAGTTAAGGAGTTCAGGGAGAATCAGTAGATTAGCTCTGCATATTTATTCGATTTATTGTTCGCAATTATAATTCTGCTTCCTTTGATCGGTCATGTCTGTACACGGTGGAGTTTGGGATATACTATATTGTATTGTTGCATTGCATACGATGTCTATTTGATAATGATGTTGCTAGGAAGTTACATCAAATTGTGTAAATGATAACACGGGTGTTACGATTTAGAATGGTTAAGTTTTTTTGTGATTATGGAATATAATTGTTGTTTATATGTTCTGATACTGTCTTATCCTCAGGTTGTGCTATTGAAAGATGGATTATTGAATTCGCGATGTTGGTTAAACTTACAATAATAGAGCTGAGTTATGAGATCATTTGCTCGTAAAGATGCAGAACTTAAAGTTGAATGTGTGGATGCTTGATTACCCTGGGAGCTTGTATCTGAGTGCTTATTTAGTTGTGATATATGACTGGACGTTTCAAGTGGTTGGTATGGTTCATAGGAGAAACACTTTGTTTATTTACTAAGAGTTATTCTTATGAAAATCTTGAGGAGGATCGTGACTCGACAAATCGCTTTCTTTACCGGGACTAGCATAGAGAGGGGGAGGAAGGTGCAATGACGTTCTTTGTGCACAAAGAACATGGAAAGGACGTTGAGTAGACTTTTTATAGAGAAAGCGAATATTATGCAATGTCAACGCTGGAGAAAAACGTCTCATACCAAGTTGTCACTTAGGAGTAATGAAGAAGTAAACAGAATTGTATAAATAAATATAATACAAAGGTCCTCAGTGAAATTTTAAAACTGCTCACGAATCAAAATTCTTGGACAAATCTAGACTGAGCCTTTCTTATTTATTGGTTCAGGGCACTTAAAATTACGCAATAAATTAGAAACAAGGAAAGCATATATTTTATTAACTATAACAATATATAAAGAGGATGTTGGGAAAGAGTAACAGTAAAATATTATTTATTTTTAATTTCTCAACCTATTCCTTATATAGTACAGAAAAAAGTATTGTATTGGTGGGGGAAAAAAGGGGCATTTTGCGACACAAAAAGTCTTATTCCCAGGTCCATATAATAAAAAAGTGGGGTAATCTTGTTCTCGTGTGTAGTGAATTACTTTTTTTAACACGATCAACAGCTAGATTTTTTATTTCGAAAATGCGACTCGCACCATTTTCTTTACCGCACGTTGCTTGAAAAAGGAAAAAAAATAAAGAAACGAACTGTAACGTTTTTGGAGAGTATCATTGTGTAAAATGGTTTTAAAACTGTTTCACGTAAAATGCCGCAAAATACCCTTTTTGTTTCGAAAAATTGAAAATTACATTATTGAAGTCTTATTTTTTGTGAACACATTCCAATGCGATAGAAAATTTTTCATAATTGTAGTTGTAGGAAGATGCAGAAAATTTGTTGATATTTTACAAATTTCGAAAAAATAGAAAATATAACGAAAATGAGACCAGCACCATTCTCTTAAGCGTAGTTTACGCTATCCGGTAACAAAATTCAATTTTAAAAAATGATCTCTTTTTTAATAATTTTGAAAATGCGGCATGGGTTATATGCAAAGTACCCCCAAAAATTAAAATACGTGTTTCCAATTTAAGGAGCCGTGGCTTCGGCCATATCAATTGCGGAATATCAATTTTGGTGAGAATCCGGATAGATGCTTGCCGGCAGTCTAGTTATCGTTAACACAGAAAAAAATCACGGATTCTGACAACACGTGTCAGGTGAATAAATTTACTATATATATATACACATAGCCATATATGACCGACTATATTTTTACTTAATGTTTTTATAATACTATCTATAATATCTTTATTAAAATAAATAGATTTATGTCAGACACTTCTTATTTTTCCAAATTGATTTCCGAGATCACTTTCTAATACTCTTCCTTTCTCTTCCTTTAAACTACATCCACATCGTGTGTGGAAATACTTATATCCCGACGGTTCGAGGAAAGCCTTTCGAATTTTGTAGGGTATCTCACACACCTGTTGAAACTTGATCTACCTTTGAGACGCCTTCCTAGTGCTTCCAAACTAAGTTGTTTGCTTTTGAACTGCTAAAACGACCTTTTCTCGACACCAAGCTCTTTCACTAGTTCGAATGTTTGATTCACTGCCCTATTTCATCTTCATTTTATTCAATTTTCATCAAGTACCGGGAAGGCCACAAAATCAGCTCATTTTTCAGGAAGAAAAAATGATTAGATTATTTCTTATTACATATATGTTCACTCAGAAATGTAGCTAGTCTTCTCTCATTAAATGTTAGAAATGAGACAATTCTGTGGTTTCATCCAAACTCACCTATCACATATTTAGCTGGCTATCGAAATTAAATTAAACTGGAAATAACACATAAACCTCTCTAACCGTGAAAAAGATACTTATCAAATTATATGCACTGTTATAAATATTTATTAAAATATAAACATCACTTTTCATTTATAAATCCATTATAAGATTATCTAAGTTGAACGTCTTTCCTATATGGGTCAGTGCAGCCAAATCAAATATGAATAAACTCCAAACCATTCAAAGTAAAACTTTTTGGTGTATTTTAAATGTTCTTGGTATATCTCCAATGATCTTATCCACTTAGATCGAATCACACCAAACACAAGAACAAGATTATGATCTATATCCACTTAGATGGAATCACACCAAACACAAGAACAATTAAACCCGAATTCCTTAAAGACAAATTTCGGCCACTCTAGCTTACTTACAAAAATATCCTCCCAAAAAACAGAATAAACTCATAAACTCATCTTTTATTTTAACATTTACCACCTCATCTAACAGTCGTCTGAAGATATTTTCTCAAATAGAAAGAAAAAATGTTTTTTAAATTCTTTTGTACTTAAATTGCACTAAAAGTAAAGCATTATAAAACACAAAAAGTATGTAATATGATTTCAGGAGTAACGTTTCTATTCATTATCATCAGAGATGTATATTCTGGCAATGATAATCAAGATCAAATATCATGATGCTATTCGTTAAACTAATTTTTAATGTTTTTAATTTAATCTATTATACACTTATATACATATTTGTCCTTTTTGTCAAATCCCGTAGAGTGGTTTTAAAACGGATAATTTGCCTTCTTTACTATTTTGGTATCGCAATCGGTGTGGCTTACTGTTACATGTGTTCCCACAAGCGTTTTGTGTAACCGATGAGTGTGATACTGTTTGTTAAACTAATTTCTTATTTAATTTAATCTATTACACACTTACGTGCATATTTGTCGAATCCATTAGAATTGTTTGTTAACGTAATATTCCCCTTATTCTATGACTTTGATATCGAAATCAATGTGGCATACTCTCACATTTGCTCCCAGAAGTTTTCGGTGTAATAAATGTGTGTGATACTGTTTGTTAAACCAATTTTTTACGTTTTTAATTTAATGTTTTATACACTTCCATGCATATTTGTAATGTTTGTGGTTTGTAAACGTAATATTTCCCTTATTCTATGACTTCGGTATCGAAATGCATGTGGCATAGAAGCGTTTGGTGTAACCGATGCGTGTGCCCACAGAGTACGCGACGGTCGGCTACATGGCCAAGCGCATCCAGATGCGCAAGAACCGCTTCCTGGCCATCCAGAAGATCGCGGAGCAGAAGAAGGCGGCGCTGGAGCCGGCGCACGCGCCGCCGCCGCCGGCGGCCGTCCGACCCGAGGGCGACCACGCGCCAAGCAAACAGTGAGTGTCGCGCCACAACCGCCGGCCGCCGGCCGGCGGCCCCACAGGCAAGACCGAGCGCTTCCCGCGATCAGAGCCGCCGCCACGGCCCTCCGCCCCTCCCGCCCGCCCCCACGGCCACGCGCGGCCGCCAGCCAGCCCCGTTCGCGCGCGCATGCGCCCGGCGGCGAGCTACTCTCCCATCCCACACGCTCATGTGTTCGGCGAATGTTCGCTCCCTTTGGGGGGTAGGTGCGAGTTAACCGTTGTTTCGGCGCTCGGCGAAATAGCGAGAACCCTTCGGCCACGGGCCCGACGCCGCGCCCGCCCGCGTCGGCATTCGGCGAGCAGCGAGCTACCTGCTCGCCGAATCCCAACAGCGCATGTGTCGGCGAATGTTCGCATTCCTCTGATGTGTGTCCAAAGACAGACACGCGGTGGGTAGGGTGAATACCGAATGTTCGGCGCTCGGCGAATAGCGAGCAACCCGTCCAGCCACGGCCCACACCGCGCGCCGCATTCGTCCAGCACCGAGCTGCTGCTCGCTAAAACCCCAATAGCTCCTGTGCTTGGAGAATGTTCGCTCCCTTTGGTGGGTAGAGCGAATACCGAATGTTCGGCGCCCGGCGAGTAGCGAGCAACCCCTCCGGCCACGGCCCACGCCGCACGCCACCGCCTTCGGGATTCGGCGTGCAGCGAGCTGCTGCTCGCCCAATCCCGAATAGCGCAGTGTGTGCCTTTGATGTGTCCTAAAGCCAGACACGCGGTGGTTGGGGTCAATAGCGAATGTCCGGCGCTGGGCGAATAGCGAGCAACCCGTCCACGCTATTCGGGATTCGGCGAGCGGTTGCTTGGGTGGGATTCATCGAATACCGCATGTGTGGAGCCGCCATTATACGAGGTTTCAGACCCAGAGACCGTGGGTCATACCAACTTCTAAAAGCACCCAGCATTCTAACGACCTTGGTTGAGAGACTTTTCGTTGCATTTTAATTTCAGTAAAGGTGACAGCCGTCAATGCAACTCTCCATAGTCCACGCACGTTGCCAAGCACGTTGAGATAGCTTTGAGATATATTAAAAGATTCAGAAAAGATGTTCAAAGATGCAGAAATGTTGCAAGAAAGTATGTTGCCACACCAATATAAATTCATCCATCATTTGATGAAATAACTGTTTCACTTGAGTACTACTAAGTCCACACAATAGTTGACTTGGCATTGTATGGGTTAGATTTTCCTTACCTAATATTTCACACTGGCGGAAATTAAAAAGGGTTACTATGTTAAAGACTTATATAAACCAAATTGTCAGTGGATTTTCGTCAAGGGACCCTTATTAAATGATTGAATTTTTTGTGTGTCTTTCGGAAATTAATTATGAAATATTATGGTACATTTTTGTTTGAATTGAATCATGAGCAACTTGGCTCAGTTTCTGAAGCACAACTAGTGTCAGGTCTTGAAAATTTCACACTGGACGTGAGAATGACCGCAAACGCCTTTCTAAGGTATCTAAAATATTCTCATTGATATAGTATGCAATTCAAAACAACAATTTCATATTACTAAATACGGCTAACTGAACCTAGTCCACCCAGTTTTGTCTGGTTGTAGGGTAGTAACCGCCAGTAACGGTTGCTTGAATTATTACAGCTGTTGTCATCCATCCCTTCACCACACCCATTTGCGCAATGTGAAAATCTTCTTACTACCGTATTTTTCTGAATCCTTCTCCTCACTATTCTTTCTACATACGAGTATAGCTGAAACCTTATCTGATAACATTTCAGCCTACTATTTGGGCTGCCAGTCTGGTTGATCCTTCAATATCTCTCGTGCCAATAAGCCATCCTCTTAAAATTATAGTTTTGTATATTTCGTTTGCGCACGTTGCCTAGACCTGATATAATCTTCAGACTAACTGAAACATCACAAAAAATCATTATTGTTAATAGCGCCAGGAGCATCATATGCTTGAATAATTTTCAGCTTAGGGGAACAGCTTGGATGTAAATGCAAATATTCTTATAAAAAATAGTAATCAGATTACTTTCAGGTCATAGAAATCAAATACACTAAGTTACTATAAACAAAGTTTTGTTACAAGGCATTAAAGCTGCCAAGATGTAATACTCTTTCGCTTGTGTGAGAGTTAAACATGACTATCTGTATTAGTTTGGCCCGTCTTTTCTTGTTTATGTAACTCATTATTGAATGACTCAATAATGAAAATAAACGGTTAATATTAACTGTATTAATTCTAGTGAGTCATCAATTCTCGTAGTATGTTCTAGACAAAGTCCTGTCGTAATATAATATTTAGTATACGGACGGGATTTAATGATACCGTTGCTTTTCATAAGTAAATTTAGGTTGTTGAAAGAGATTATGTTCAGTGAATAATTTATAACAGGGAAATGTAATCAATTTTACATTGAATTTCTGAGCAGAGACATTGAAATAATTCTTATCGTCAATAGAAAGTTATCACATTATTTTGCTCTTCTGCGAAATGTTTACTTTTTTCTTCTAATAAATTAACACTCATTTCCAACTTTTTAGCCCTATAATTTAGGTAATTGAAACAATTTCTGATTGACAAGTAAATATAGGGTATGTCGAAAACTTAAGATAGAAAACAAAATAGTTCACAATAGAAGAAAAATGGACATTAGATCAATTATGTAATTGTGTTATTACAAAGAGAAATTTTATTGTTGAAAATTGTTCTTATCCTCTTATGCAGAAGCAATGATTTCATGAAAATGATAGTATTTTTTTATCTTTACGCTCAGAAAAAAACACTTTTGTTTGCAGATATCTCTTTTTCGAGTATTGAATTTATTTTGGAATCATTCTAATTTGCGTAGTGTTACATAAAAAAATAAGAATAAAAATCTATATCATGGGAGAGCTAATGTGTATCATCGTTCAATCTCTAGATTTTGAAATATATTTTAATGAATGTAATTATTATTTTTGCAGTATTTCATTGATTATAAATTTATCTGTGAATAGTTGAAATGGTGTCAAGATACATTTAAACAGTTCTATTATTATTTGGCCATTCACTTTTGACTGTTTCTATATTCACTTTTGACTTTCTCTTAACTGGTTATTGTTTCTAGATTGCATACACACTTTATCTTTATTGATTTAGTATAAACATTTTTGTTTGTAAGTAGACATCATAGATCATACGGATGGCTAACGCATCTTATAAATCAGTTTTATTTCACACTCGCACGTTGAAATAAGAAGAGTGGTTAACAGCTTGCAATTGTTCAGGTGGAACTGCAATTGTCTGCAAATTGCATCCTTAAAATGTCGTCCGATTTTGACTTCTCCCTACGTTTTCCTCCTAACAACTCAATTTGATAGTGTAACAAATTTCATTAAAGTAAATTAACATCAATCCATGTCGCAGAGGTCCTACAGTTATAAATATCAACTTGGCATTCGTTCGACAAATACACGCAACATCAATGATACTGTGTGTATAACCCCATAGTTAGAATTGTCTTTATGAATTGGTCAATGGTTTGAAACACAAATATATTGGTGTTTGTCAGAATAAATGTTATAAACTTCTACGGAATGTATTGAAGTCAAAATTATCAATTTATGTCAATGAACATATTGTCGACCGTTTCATAAAACGTAGCTACACTATGAAATTTGCCTCTGATTGTCGGAAACATTTTATACTGCGCTTCGGCAAGTACATGAAATTTCTTTGATGAATAAGAATGTGACCTTCCAATCTTATTTGTAATTCCGTTGTATGTAGTTTTTTACTACACGTGTTTTGGCAAAATATGATTATTTTTATCACTCTACCACACCCAGATACTTAAAATATTTACTCTGAGACACCTGCCGTTATAATGTAATTCATCGTTATCACGACAAAAAAAGAATGTTGCCTATCATTCTCCTAGAATTACGGGCGAAATACACAATAATTATATGCATCCTCTAAAGTAAATAGCTTATAAAGAACAATGGCATACCATTATTATCTCATTTTAACAAATATTAAGAAAACCCATAAATTATAACAGTATGTTGGAAAAATAAATCAAACTTTTTATAATGAAAACTCAGCAAGTTTTGTGATTGACCCTGTAAAGTCTTGAATTTCAACTGCTTCCGAATACGTTTTCCATTGGTTGATGCTCATGGAGGTTTCTTCCGACAAACATCAAACGATTTCTCTAAAATGAAAGTAAATTACCAGAATTTTTTATGTACGAGTAATGTTTGAAGACGCACAGCCTCACATAATTTACATTATGACAGACATCCTTTTGTGTATTCGAAGCAAATAAAATGGGTCACTTAGCAAAAAATTGCTTTTCAATTAGCAATATAACCTGAATTCTATCAGACAAATTCCGCCTCTAGTCTTTTATCACAACCACATCGGAATATAACATGACCTCTTCCCTTCTTACTCAAACTGAATCTTCAGTCAATTGGAAGGGACCTGTCCCTATCCCCTTCCTCTCCATTTCAACCTCGTCGGAGAGTGTCACTTCTGATAAGTTCACCGAAGAAGACTCGACCAAATGGCTCACGAAAAGAATGAAAAGATCTTTACTTTCTACAAACTCGCTTCATGCTTCCGTCGTCCACTTTTCTGAGGAGAAGGAATATCTATATCTATATCTATCTATCTCTCTATCTATCTATCTATCTATCTATCTATCTATCTATCTAACCTTTGTGACAAAAAAAGGCTCTTAACCTATCTAGATAGATAGACAGATATATAGATAGACAGATAGATAGATAGATAGATAGATAGATAGATAGATAGATAGATAGATAGATAGATAGATATACTCGTCCACACAATATAAAGATGATTCGATAACAAGGAAATAAGTAATATCGTAACAATAGAGTATGGACGACTTATCATTAAAATATATTAAAACAGCAAAGGAAACAAAAACTACATATATCTACATCCATATAATAACTTACAAACCTTTGTGACAAAAAAGGCTCTTAACCTGTAATAGAAATTAAGAAACATTTTTCGACTGACTCTCTGGCAATAATACGAATGCTAAACGAAATCTCTCACTTCACCCGGAAAAGGATTCAAAAATAGATGTTCAAGGATTGTCTTAAAACATGGACGAACAAAACTACTAAGAAACAAACCTGCAAAGAAAATGGTCTGTCAAACACTGAAGAAAATGGAACTATCAATATCAAGTCAATCCAACCTATCATGATAATTGTTCAGCAAGTTTGCAATGTTTATAATAAAAGGTTGCTGCATTATAATTTGTAATATTTACAAACCACAAATATTTTCGGGTAATAGGAATAAATTTTACGGTGAGTTTTAAAACGAGAAACAACATTCTTTTTTTGCATCAGCTGCCACACGCAAATTAATAATGAAGAAATAATAACTTTTACCAAATTAAATAAATTTATAGCAAGGTAAATTTCTTCCAAATACTTTACTAAATTTCAACAGTCACAAATTTTGTAGAGATTTGTCATTAATAGTAAATGAGACTAAGTAAAAAGTGGTTAGATAACCACACAAATCCTATTATATTTAATATATTTAAATATGAGTAATAGAAGATTTGATTTAAGATATGCATCCTTGGTATCGCAAGTATAATTTTAGGGTACGTATCTCAAATATCTATGTTACTGATCATTGCCCTAAGACTATAAATTGGTGAGTTTAACTACCTATCTCAGGTAATGAAAATCATCCTAAGTGGATCATGAACAGAGCTAATTACCACCTCTTTCAATATTAACAATAATATTGTCTTATTAAAAGCGCAGACCCATTTCATTTCATGTACCATCAAAAAGATAATGACTGATTTTATCAATATGATCATTGCAGTAAAGTTTTATTTATTTTATGTATTTATTTACTTTGCGTCAAAAAATGAAACTGTGTGTGACGAGCTATGGGTAAACTGTGCATTTTTTCTTAATTCTAGGATTCCTACCCTAAGCCATTTATAAGTAGAATTCTGAATGCAGAAAGAAATGAGCGTTTTTGATATGAATTGTTAACAAAATATTCACTCCGGTGTAATAAAATATACAAGAACTAATCAGTTTAATATTTGGGCTCTTGTAACTCATGGTGTCTTTCGGAAGGAATATATTTTCGCTGCGACAACATGGAGAATGATAATTTAAATTATCATACTTCCCACTGAACTCTAGAAGACGTGCACAGATAATGAAGTTTTATTTATGTGCAGAAGCAAAACAATGAGCCACCTCAGCATTTTCTCAAGGAATCGAAAAAAAAGCTGATAAAGGCGGTCATTGACCAAGAAGCTGAGGTATATAATTCCCCGAACTTCAAAGAAAGAAAGAAATCACGATGGTGCGATGGTGAAAAGTTCTGTAACCATAAACATTAATAGAAACAAAGAAACGCCAAAAATAGTCTTGCTTTTTAAGATAGAGAAAAGGCTTGAATAACCTGCAAGGGTCCAATTCATTTACTATCTCCATTATAAATCAAACATCAAACTCCGAAAATGACAAGAAGTGGAAGTTAATGGAGATAATCATCCAGTATTCTCAAAATGTTAATGAAAACAGACAAGAATGGGTGAAACACTTTAATCATCAAACTATTGGTGAGTTTCTTACTGTCTCTCTTCCAATACGTGTAAGAAATTCAAATTTAGAGCCGGAGGATTTCTCACAAATTACATCCACTAGCAACTATTTGGAAACCAACGATGAGCAGCTAGAAAACAATACTCACAAAACCAGCACAACCAGACTTTCCATTCCCTGGAACTCCTCCATGTCCTAAACATAAGTAAGAAGTGCATCATGGTCGGATGATGTATGATTTTAAGACTTCTTTTTTATCAATCTTTTCCTGACCAATAGTATAAAGTCGTTGTAATTCTCTTACTTAATCATAAAAACAATATCTCAATCTTTGCATCATAACTTTTTTCTTGAAATATATGCCAACTTCTAGAAAATAATGGTTAGAAACTGCCTTCTTTGGATTATGGAATAAAACACTCATATCAGCGTTTCAAAGTGCCTTTAAGGGCGTCTCTTTATTTAAGTACTCTAATTTCTGACAACATACTTAAAACAAATGATTTAAATTTACTTTTCAAGACAGTTTATTTGTTTTAAAAATTGCATGTAATGGAAAAGTTCATGAATTGCTGATGTAATGTCTAAAAAAAGGTTGCAAAGCTTTTCATTTGACTGATACTGAGGGCCAACCTGAAGGAAAGTGGAACAATGTCAATAAATAATCTAATTAAAGAAAAAGTTAAATGTTGAATTCAACTTACAACAATACATGCCATTACACTTCTGGCCACAATTTTAGTTCAAGATCGATATTTAAATTAGCACTCACATTTAATAAATCTGTGATGCAAATCTTCAACCTATATTATTCTTTGTAGAAAATTACCCCCTCATATATTAATATTGACAACCAAATTCTTAAATATTGAAATTGCTGGAAATCTATTTTGTTTCCCGTCCTGTTAATTTTATTTTGCCTTTGTTTACTTAAAAGTATAATGTGAATACTGCTTGTGCTCTGAAGAAAATAATATTTGAATGAACTCCGGCAATGTGTATTTGTATTACGTGTACCTTGTGTGTGTAATGATGTCAAGGGAAATACCAATTCTCTCGTCTTGCTGACTGATATAAAACAGTAGTACCTCCATTTACATGATCGTTTCGGAGGCAATAAAAAACAAGTACAATTATTTCATTCTAAATGTCTTTATTTCATTATTCACGACTTTATAACTTCTGCAACACTTAATATTTATTTATTGTAATCAAATTGGATACACAAGCAAATTAGTTGAAAAGAAAAACAACTGTGGAGTGCTCAATGATGAATGTAAGTCAAGTTAGAAGGACCACTTCATGGTGGGAATAAATTATATCACGGATCACCCTTAAACAATGCATATTAAATTAGATATAGGTTTCTGAGTTGTGACTTATCAGAACCCCCGATATAGATACACCAGGTACCACCACAATATTACAATGTAATGATTTTTTACAAGTTCATAGCGCAAAATAAGTTTCTACTTTGAAACATGTGGACAAGAAGTGAAAAATTTGCTGCCATTCTTGTTTTTATCTCTTGTATACATTATGATGAAATTCAATGCCGAAGCCCTTTAGTTATTTATATAAATAAAATATAGTTGAATTACATATTAACAGAGTAATTTTAACTGAAAAAGTCCAAATATGAGTTATTAATTTTTGCTCGTATATAAATGTAGAACCAAATACATTTACACGAGTTCCTTGACACTTACATAGCTATCCAACTTAATCCTTGGTGTTGAATCCTCTATAAAATATCTCATATGCAGCTCTTATATTATGGATCGAATCGCTGTAGATTGAAAGTGATAGGTGATTATTACGATTTGATAAAGTTTGATACTTCACGTGATAATAAAAGTGTTCTTATCTAAATGAAAATCTTCAACAAAGGATGATGTAATTTCAGTGTTTCTATCAGATATTGTAAAATCATAAATCACAGAATAATCATTTCGGCTTTTATTAATTTTGAGTTTCTACGAAATGATCATTAATAATGTAATATATTTCCCTCTATTTGCTATTTTTCGTTAATTTTGGATATTAACAAGTAATAGTTCTTAAAGTGTATCACATTACCCCCAAGGTTTTTTTCTGTATGATATTAACCTAAACTGCCCTTATAGTTTGAAAATCACGTAAGTTGGTTAATCGCTGTGCCGCAAAAATTTAGTTTTCAGTAGTGTTAGAAATAATAATTATTTAGTTTATTACAGATAAACTATACGCCTAACTTTTTTGTTGATCCACTATATTTGCTGAATTGATAACTCAAATACATACAATGAATTGTTTTGTTAGAAATATATGGGAATAATTACTTCGTTCTCCTTTTTTATTTGTAGAGAATTTAAGCTATCAAGTATATAGCAATAATATTTGAATAATATTTGAGAGTGTTTTCATGAGGTAAAACATTTCAATTGAGGGAAAAGCTTACATTTTAAAGGCACTTTCCTATGTTATTTTATTGCTGTTTGTATCGTGAAGTTTCCTTAAAAGTTAATTAATTGGATTTGATTCATTTAGTGACATCAGACAGTTATTGACATTAGTGACAAAAAGGCAGTTAATACTTCATAAACTTTCGAATGTAATTTTCCAACATTTTCTTTTACACATTTTTTTAAACACTTTTAAGTGATCAGTTGCTAATTGTTGATACTGCCGAAATACCTTCATGGGTGTGGTGCTACGTAATGGATATTGAAAATGAAATTTTAGAATTGTCGTAACCATTGTCGGAAGTATAGATTTTTTTATGTTCATAAACAGATTTTTCTTTTATGGTTATACATGATTTCCAGTGCTTGTCTGATTAGGAATTATTTGTTTCAATTTGCGTAACATAATGATAATTGAATATATTTCTCATTTCTGTTTCACTTTTGGGGGTGTAAGAAAAGGTAACACTAAATTTGAGAAGAGTGACAAGAAAAGGGGACACAATGAAATGATGAATGGATGAAAATATTGGAAGTGATGGACAACATTGCAACTGCTGAATATTAATAAACTCAAGTGATTCAAAACCAATTAGTTCAGGGTTCATTGACAGAATTTCACAATTATAGTAGTGCTATTACAAGGTTGTCAGGACGTGAAGTTATATATTTGTGATTTAGCTTCAATTTCTAATTGGCAACAGTTATTTCTAAGGAAACCCTCAAGGAGAAAAATGTACTCTCAAACCTTACAATTTACTGAAAATTGTACATTTGGTTAAGAACGTACTTCCAACCAAATGTGTTTGACTGGTTTACCAACCAATCCATGCATTTAAATGGCTTGAAAAGATCAATCTAAATATTTCACCTCTATTTCGCTCCAGTAATTCTCGAAATGTGTAACGATAACGTGTAGCGTGGAGAGGAGAGGGAAATGTGCAAGGAGAGGGCACACTCATGCAAAGGGTGCACGAAGGGTCGTATGAGAAGACTACACTTCAAAGGGAAGGAGCGCGTTGTCCAGGATTTAAAAAATATATGGATCCGACGTCAACTTGACACGCACAAAGAAAGCCTTGCTACTTGTGGCCGATTGTGTCGTCAGCCAAGAGTACGGCCCTTGCAGCTCGCCCTTGCAGCTCGCCCTTGCGGCTCGCCCTTTGTCCCCCGCGGTGGTCGTCGTCCGTGGCTGCGCGCAACGCCCCCGCCTGCGCCCCCGCATGGGCCTGAGAATGCACCCTCGCCCCGCTTTCGCATTTTCTGTCTCGCTCTCTATCTTAGTGTGTTGTTTCTTTATTGCTTCATATCGTAGCCGTAGAACCTTTTTTTTTGTTGCTTCCGTTCTCTACTTTAATATCGAGCCCAGTTCTCGCAGGAGCACATAAGAAGCTCGCTTCACCGACTGGCCGAAGCCGGAAACGTTTATTCAAGTGTCAGGTGACTGTTAAGTGTCTCACGTTCACTACCCCGTCGGTCGTGAAGGAGAGGGAGATGTGGTTGGGAAAATATTTGCGGTGTATTTGTAAAAATGCTTACGGTCGTTTTTCATCATTTCAAAATTCGAGTAATTTGTGTTTTATAAACATAAGCCATGCGCGGTTTATGTGTAAGTTATCAAGTTTTTTTGTTGTTGAGATTATAAATGAACGCAGAACTTTGATCTGAAACACTGATCTGGACAACTGGGCTCACCACTAAGCATTTTCAGAATTTTTATTAAATAACGAGCTTTTGTATATAATTAGGCTGAGAAGCATGGATGAATGTGTCAGTGAGTACCTGTGTGAAAGACAAACTGAATGACAGTTAGTATTTAATGAAATATATTTTATCTTCTTTAATTGCTTTTTGTAAATAATAATTTATAAGCTATAAATTAGAATTATATAATGTGCTTAAATTATCATAAATTTTGTAGAAATAAATAATTTATATTCTCCATTTGAGAAGAAAACTGTGTTTGTGCATGATAGTGTCATTGTTACTAGAATAATTACTAGCTTGATATAAAGAACAAAGAATGACTTCATCGATGTTAAAACATTATACATATACTAAAATGTACCTTAACAATGCACATAGACAAGCTAGTGCATGACACTAGTAATATATATCAAAGCGCATATCAAAATGCAAACTTATTTCAGGTTATGAGTTTAAGTATTACTACAAAGCAGGCTTAAGTACTCTAAGCCTCTCCAATGATGATACACATTAGTCTGCATATTTGTAAATTGCACAACATAGCACTACGCACGTTTTGTACTCTTGCAGAATGAGATTACCCTAAAGTTCAGGACCGATACAGTCACCTGGACGAGGAGCAAAGATATCACAGGACATATCACGTTGCACTCTTCAAACTTCCTTCTCTCGTCAACCTCTCTTCCAGTCCGCACGCTTCTGCACTTGCTGGCTTAACGCGGCCACCAGCTCAAAGGAAGGAAGCGCTCTGTGGGGTCCACCGCAAAAGTGTACAAATGCACCACAAAGAGCCTGACGATACTAGGCTCATGTAAGATGAAACATAACATTAGAAATGTTATTTATATCTCAGATTATTTTATGGAGTACACAATAGTATATATTTATCTATACTTCCTTTCCAGGCATCACATTGAGCTTTGTGACCCTTAGTTTACTCTACAAACACATATTCTAGTGAATATTTAACAAGGAAAAGTTGAAACAAATGTAATGTGAAATAATAATGAAATTTCCGTCTCAGAAATACCTTTTCAAATATGGTAATTCTATGAATATGTACAAGTAGTGCCAGTAACCATATAAAAAAGATGGTGAATTTAAAATGCGAAATTACACAAAGTGCAGAGGAAGATGATAAAGAAAGAGTGCAGACCGCATGTGTGACATCATATGGGACAAATCTCTTTAAACTGTGGGTATCACTTAACTCAAAGAAGGTATACGTCAACAATTACTCACATACCACATTTCAACACTTCTGTTAGAATTTAAGTGAATTATTTCGTACTGAAACCTCATTTTGCAAGGCTGTAGATGCCGGAGACCGCGAATGCATGTTGCTCTGAACTTGGTTTGAGTGAAGACTCTGTAAAAGTAAAATAAATAATGCTAAGCCAAGCACAAATGCCAGAGTTTCTTCGTATACTCGAAGAAATTACATTCGACAACGCGATGTATCTCAATTTGCAATGCTTTGTTAAAAAAATTGTGGGTCAAAAGTTGTACATAATGTTTATCCTAAAAGGATGAGAGATACACGCAAAGATAAAAGTTTATGGAGAAATGTAAGTCGAGCACCTCGAATCATGCATGAAGAGGAAAACGTCTAAGCATACGTTTGCCGTACGAGGTGGTCGTGTCTCCTTTGCTTACGAAGCTTCGCCCGACACCTGGGGAAGTAGCGAGGTCGCGGAGTGTGCAGACGGCCAGCGCTACCTCGCCCCGAGAGTCGCAGACCGACCTTGGAGAGGCGTGGCCCTCGCCTCTCGCCCCGCCGCGCAAGATCCGCCGCCCGCACGAAGACGGCTCCCCCGCCCCTTGCGGCGGGCAGGGGGACGTCCTGGACGCGGCGTCTACAGCCTAGGGCCGGCCCACGCCCACCTGCCACCCACGCACGTGTCCCTTGTAAGTGTTCGGCGGGCGCCGTTTGTTCCAGGAGGTTCGGTTCAAAGTGCACGACCGAAAGGCCCATTCGAAGGGCGGCACGCTGGAGCGCACCGTCAACGGGCGCGCAGACGAGGAGGTCCCGCCCCCGCAACACGTCCTCCGCCCGGGCAAGGATATCAACAAGATGTACGGCATCACCCCCAGCGACATCGACAAGTACTCGCGCATCGTCTTCCCGGTGTGCTTCGTGTGCTTCAACCTCATGTACTGGATCATCTACCTGCACATCAGCGACGTGGTGGCCGACGATCTGGTGTACATCGAGGAGGACAAGTAGACTTCGAGACACGAGACGGACGGAGGAAGCGAGCGAGAGAAGACGGGGGGGAGGCGGGACCGCGCGTTCCCGCCCCGCCCCGCGCCGGCCGCCCCCACGCGGCGCCGGCGGCGCACATTCTAAAGCCACCGCCCCCCCTCCCACGCGCGCGCACACGTCGCGTGTTCCTCTCGTGCCCGTGCTGCGGTTCGCCAGGAAGCCTCGCTGGGTCGTGCATCTTGATTCGCAACTGATGGAACAGATCGAGCCTACTGAACACTTACGAGGGACGCGGCATGGGAAGGACGCCGGCTCTCCTTGGCGGATGGTCGGAAGAGGCGCTGGCGAGCGGAAGAGAGTCTGCAGCGCGGCCGTTGCAGGTGTTCGCAGCGCCGGCGGGGCGCTCCAAGAACCTCCAAGAACCTCTCGCAGAAATTCCTCTGCCTACGACTGGCATACATTGGCGGGCTTGGCGTTGCGTTTGTAAGAATCGGTCTCGAGGGAAAGGCATTGATTTGTTATTTAAAGTAAGTGGGCGTGACGATTTGTAAACTTTTTCTCTGAGGTGGCTCTTGTCAATTAAGAAAATCATGATACTAAGTAGAACTTGAGGGAATCGAGGGACTCTTTATGTAAGAAACGGCGTTTTCACTCCTCCACAGCGGAGAGGGGGCGAGCGCAGGTTTGCGGTCACCGACAGCTAACAGCCCTGGCAAACCAGTGCGAAAGTGTGAGTAGAGGTGCCCTTCCCCTGGCCCGTGTCCCTTGTAAGTGTGTGGCTGGCGCCCTTTGTTCTAGGAGGTGAGGTTCAAGGTGCACGATCCGAAGGCCCACTCAAAGGGCGGCACGTTGGAGAACACCATAAACGCTCGCGCGGACGAGGAGGCGGCGGCCCCGCAGCACGTCATCCACCCGCCCAAGGACCTCAACAAGATGTTCGGCATCAGCTCCAGCGACATCGACAAGTACTCGCGCATCATTTTCCCTGTCTGCTTCGTGTGCTTCAACCTCATGTACTGGATCATCTACCTGCACATCAGCGACGTGGTGGCCGAGGATCTGGTGCTGCTCGAGGAGGACAAGTAGAGGAGAGGACGACGGGAGAAGAGAGCGGACAGGAGCGGCGCAGCGCTGACGGCAGCGACAGCGGCGGCGGCGGCGTCGACACTCCTGCCACTCGACGTTCATATCGACTAGACAGAATACACTAACATTTCTTGTTATTTTTGCTCCTTACTGAGTTTATGTAGTAATTATTATTATTCCTCCTGTTTTTTTTTAAAATAACTCTACTTTTTTTCTGCTTTGTCTGTTTGTTTGTCTGTTTTGTTTTTTTTGGATAGTTTATGTTCTTTCTATCTACGATCTGTTGTGTTGACAGCGGTTCACGCTTGCTCTCTCGATGCCTACGTACAGCAACGTCAGATCACAACCACAAATATTTTCTTGAGTAGCACACTGTACGGAGTTATATGATACATGCTATCGTGAGGGGTATTACTAATTCATTTAGAATGTACGCTCGGCACCCGCGTCGCCCGGGGCGTGCGGGCGGGGGCCGGGGGGCGCGCGGGCGTGTGCGGGGCGGCGGGCGGGCGTGAGCGGGCGCTGGCGGAGGCGGAGACGTCGAC